GTACCTAGAAGAGCAGGTCAAGCAAGTCTTCACGCGCGCGTATGGCCGCGAGAAAGAGTTGAGACTTGACCTCGAGGCAAACGGGGCGACAAATCCGACTCCGATTCGTGGCCCTCGCTAAGACCCGAACTATACGCGATCACTAGCTGTTTACTGGCTCCTGCGCTCCCTGATCATTCTGTACATGCGCGACGCGCCTCGGTGACACCCATCGGGGTTTATCTTTCGTGACATCGCCTACTAGACTTCAACCTCGTCCCCAAGGGCCCGGGATGGACACCGCCGACGGGCCAGCACTTGGAACGATCGTTACCACAGCGCAAGGGAAAGGCATAGTTCGGTACTCAGGCGTAACTTCATTTTCAAAGGGGAAATGGGTTGGCATAGAGCTCTACGAACGAAATGGAAAGAATGACGGCTCTGTTCAAGGAGTGTCTTACTTCACCTGCAAGATGGGATATGGGATTTTTGTCCGTGCCAGCCAGATCAAGAGTACACATGGCTCTGAGTTCGAGGTATTGTACTTTCATTATTGAGATGCATTACAATTGCATTGACTGCTCTGTAGCGTCCAGTTTCTACTGCTCGACCGACGTTAGGTCACCAACGGACAAATAGTTCAGGGCTTCTGCGAGCCAGCTCAATACGCACACCTCCTTCTTCAAATGCATCTCGCTCAACAAGCCCTGAAAAACCCCCAACCCCTGCGAAAGCAGCTGCCTCTACCTCCTCAATAGTAGTACCATCAAGTTCTTCAACCATTTTGCGGCCACGGCGGGCTGGGTCTCCAACGAAGCGCAATTCTCTTTCTCTACAGCCCAGAAAGTCCCTCGCAGCCTCTTCATCTTCTGCCGGAGGCACTGGTAGCTCGTCTGGTCCCAGTCCTCCGCCAAGATTACTCAGTTCACCAAACGGTCAACCTCTGAGACGTACATCATCGCCTTTAACCGCGCCGCCGATCAGTGCGTCCCCTCCAACAACTCAAATGCCCATGCGGTCCCCTCCCGTTTCATTCCAAGTCACACCTTCAGAACAACCGAAACCCCCTTCACGCCCTCCTTCATCGCTTCGAGCTCCAATAGTGAGTGTAAACCATGACTACGATGGTGACTGTTGGACTAAGCCCATTACAGAACATTCAGGAACATGTGCAGGACGATCAAGAACTGCAGGAACTACGGGCCAAAATCCGTGTACTGGAGGCTAAACGTGCAGACGACTCACGACACGTCCAAGAGCTTGAAACGCGTCTCTCTGAAGCCGAATCGTTTGTGGCATTGCGTCCAAAGCTCCAAGCGAAACTCATGTCGCAACAAACGGAGCTCGCTGCTGCGAAGCGAGAGCTTGCAGATGCACAACAGTTGGCACAATTGTCCGAGACACGACTTCTTGACGCTCAGGAGCAACTCGAGATGGCCACGCTGGACAAGGAGGTTGCTGAAGAACGCTCCGAGTTGGTTGAGACGGAGCTGGAAGAGCTGAAGGAGAAATACGCAGTCCTCGAAGTAGAGATCAAGGTCGTTAGGGAAGGGGGCGGTGGTAAGGGCACAGGAACAATCCCTCTCTTACCATTACCGAATCCTCATCATAGGAGACGGCGATCCCAGTGCTGGCAAGAACTCGTTAGCTTACATCCAACTTGAGAAGCAGAACGAGCGATTGAAAGAGGCTCTTATCAAGTGCGTGATTCAAAGAATCGGAGAAGACTGAGGCTGATTTCTTTGAATAAAAGGCTACGGGACATGTCTCAAGAGACGGAGCAGGACCAGCGGAGACGAATAGCTGAGATGGAGAAGGATATCACAGGGCTTGATGACCTTCAATGTACGTTCTTACACTGTCTACTACTCACCTCTCTTAAATGGTTCATCTTTAGCGCAATATGAGTCCACTCTCATTAAATTGTCCAATGCCGAAGTTCAAATCGAAGATTTGAAACTCCAGCTTGACGATGCCCTTGGTGCGGAGGAGATGTTAGTGCAGTTGACAGAGCGTAACCTCGTACTCGGAGAGGTATTAGCTGAAACATACTATTCCTATGCAAGTTGCTTACGGACTGTGTTTAGAAAATCGAAGAGATGCGTATCACCATCGAGGATCTCGAAGCTCTGAAAGAACTTAATGATGAACTCGAAGAGAACCATGCTGAGACAGAAAAGCAGCTTAACGAAGACCTGAGTATGACAATATTTATGTATCTCGGGGCTCTTTGCTGACATCATTCATAGACCAGAAGGACGCTCAAATTCAACAACACGTTCAGAGGACCGAGGTTCTCGAAGACACCTGCCAAGATCTCGAGAGTACAATAACCAAATTCCGGGACCTTGTTCTTACATTGCAACAGTGAGTCACTTCTTCTCTTATCGAATATATAACATCAATTATCAATTAGTGAACTCGACGATCTCCGTACACAAACTCAAACTGCCCAGACCGAGTCGGCGACAGCAGCATCACAGACTGCAGCAATGATGTCACTCAATCTTAAGCTCCAATCGTCGGCATTGAAGAATCAGGCGAAGAACATCGACCTCGAGATTCGCGGCCTGGAAGGGAGAGAGGCGAGGGAGCTCCTCGGTATCGTCCAGGTACAGATCTACTGTGATACATACTTTGGGAAAATCTCTCACCCTTTTGCAGCCCTACTTGCCCGAACTCTATGTCGAGTCGGACACGGACGCCACGAACTGTTATATGTTCTTCCAACGACTGGCACACAAGACTGACCTCATCAACAATGTGGTGGCTCAAGCACATGGTTTACCGGATTCTCTCAATGGTTCTGTCTCTGAAACGCTCGTCGGTGTTTGCGAGGCATGTATTGATTCTACGAAACCTTCACTATGTCTGATGGTTTTTTCTAGATGCGTGCGCGTATTTCTGGACTTTCGACTTTGTGCAAGCGCTTCACGGCCATCTTGCGGCGGTGCGATGTCGAATCTTTCCTCAACATTGGACGGATTTTCCCTGAGATTGCACCCATGGAGAAGCGGATTGACATGCACATCAACCTCCTTCGAAGAGATGAGTTCAGAGAGATGGAATGTGTTAGCGACATCATTAAGTAAGCCTACTTGATCGTGAGTTCTTTCGATCTCACTGAGCGCTTTGTTCAGGATCCAGGCGCAGTTCGATCACCTTGCAGAGACTTACTTTGATGGATTTGACCATGATCTGGGTGAACGTGAACTTGGCTATGCGTTATCTTTCGATCACGACCTCGACATGTTCGCTGCCTCAATTGGGCTCGCTAAGACTTCCGTGGGATCCATTCTCAAGGAAGAAGGTGCGAATTCAACATCGGCACTAGGCTTTGTTCTTACACATGCTTATTAGAGGTGGTTTTGGATATGGGAGGTTATGACATCGAGACAGAGCTCTTTAAACCTCTCCAGACGCTATTAGATAGCAGTAAAAGTGCCAAAATTGCGTCGAAGTGCGTCATGTCGGGGTCCTTGAAGTCCATGTTCTGATCGCCTTGTAGGAAAATGACAAAACGAATGGATGAACTTATTGAAGATTCTTCCGCGCTCAAGGCTCATCTGGTTCCAGAGATGAAATCTCTTAGTGACCTCACTGCTGAGTTAGTCAATTTCAGTATCTCGGTTCGTGTATTGCGTGTCTTCTATCTCTCAACTACTGATTCTTACATCTCAGCTGGCTCAACAAATTATGCCTCACTTGAGTGACGCGCGAAGCGGGAAATCCTCCTTCCAGTTGACGACATTGCTTGCCATTGTGAAGCAAACAGCTTCTGCAACGGTTGCTAAGAACATCAAACCTGGACAATCAGTTTGGGATGCTATCAGAGCTTCAACAGCCACTGTTGTGCAAGAAGGTAGTAAGCTCCTCCCATTGGCATTAGAAGTCGAGAATGTTCAGAAAAGTCAGCAATACTCTTGAGTACTCTCCGGTCGGTACTGACAGCCCTTTAGTTTCCGGCACGGCTCCCTGGATCAACAGGGTTGCAGAGATCAAAACCAGCTTGGCAGTCAACGTTGAAGCTGAACGCAAAGTGGCTCAGCTTAACGACGAGATGCAAGGTCTTGTACGGACTCTCAAGACCAAGGATCAGAGCATTCAGGAGACTTCTGTCAAGATCGAGCTTATGGAGCGCAGACTCGAGGCGGCTAAGAAACAGGCAGATACCATCGCTAATCTTGAAAATGAAATCGCGAAAGCCAAAAGGCAGGAACGTGCATACGAAGAAGCAATGGAGCAGCTTCAGGCAGATTTGGATACTCTGGAGCAGGACAATGCCAAGCTCAAAACGTTGGCGGCCGGACAAGAACGTCAAGGTGCGATTATAATTATCACCAAAAGCTATTCCTCACTAAATCCTCAATTCCTTCCAGGTAGTCAACAACCAGAGCCGGAAACTGTTCCCATCGAAGGCAGCTTGGAGACATCGCACCTCTTGGAACAAATTGACGCGCTCAGAGGGACCGTACGCTTCCTCCGTACAGAAAATTCATATCTCAAGGGTCAAGACTTACTCAGAGAGATCGAGAGCCTACCACCTCTTCATGTGTCGCTCGGTCGCATGCCAACACCTCCACTCGATCCTTCTAGGCTCTCAGACTCGGATGACTCAGACACAGAAACGCCCTCGCCGCCGCCAACCTTACGTTCTCTCACTACGGAGACGAAACAATTATATCGAGATGTCATTAAATTCTCGTCGTCACCTCGTGTTGTTGATCTATCTGCCCTCCACTCAAAACGAGCAGAGGCTAAAGGTGGCAAAGTGTGGTTACCCAAGAAACGAACACCTGCTCACCAAGTCCGGGAACGCAAGATGGAGGCGGAACGATTGAGTAGACGGGTACAAGGTTTGCTCGACCGAGCAAACTTGATCAATAATCTTTGACTTTCGATGTCGCATCCAAGCTACTTTGTTTAATATCTTTTTCTCGAGTTCGCTTTTATAATAGAATATACATATGTAATCTAGCCGTTCATGCCGACTACGAAATTATCCCATCATGGAATAGAAAGGCGCTATAGCCAAGTGGTTACGGCGACAGATTCGAATTACATAGTATCTGTTCCTCTTTGAGGGCGCAGGTTCAAATCCTGCTGGCGTCGTTTAATTTATTTATTTTTTTATATATTTCCTCATCTGATGTATTAGATGTTTGACTGGACAAATCTCAAATCAGCCTGCATAAAGAAAGCGAAATTTCGTAAGTTTGATGCATCAGATTCATTTTAAGCTACAGGCTAACATCATTGACGAGAACCAGGCGTTGGGCTTTCCTCAATCCGACCGATTTGAGATCCAATGCCAATAGTGTCTTGTAACAAATCATCGCCCAACATTCGCAAACCTCCGTTTGAACGCTGTTGAGCCTGCATACGTTGTTGAGGCGGGACTCCGAACAAAGTTTCTTCCTCCACCTCCCCATGAAGACGATCATACATCTCGTCGTCAAAAGAATCATCGAAAGCGTCGTCTTCAACGCTACCTGCGAAAGGGTGGATCGGAGCCAGATCTGGATCAGCACCTTCATCCTCGAGAGAATCGCTAGAATGGTTGGATCCAAAGGAATCATCTGAATCATCGCGAGCTCCTGCGGACGCCATAAGAAAAGCCTGAGATGGATGGGCAGTGTTGTTGATTTCATCCATAGAATCAGAGTCAGAGAGATCCTCATGCCGATGGACCGGAGTGATGTGTTCTTCGTGAACGACCGGTGGAAGCGTGGCAGAATCATTGGAAATTGATTCACTTGCTTTCAGGGATGCATGTGATCGCAGTCGTAGAGCAGGAGTGGAGCCAGTGGCGCCGACGCTCGAGGGCACGCTCAAGCCGACTCTTCGCATCATGCTCTCCAGGCTAGAGTCAATAACGATACTATCGCTCGTGTCGTGTTGACGGTACCGTGACAGAGAAGGTGGAGTGGGCACAGTGCTCATCGTCGATTCAATTCTGCTGTGCAGATAGCCATCCCTCGCTGCAGTGCCATTCCTGTACTGGACGTCCCTCACCAGATCTCGAGTGATTCTGGCTGAAGCATCCCGTATTGGGGTTTGGCCCAATCTCAGGAGGCCAAGTTCAGCCATTGAACGTGGTGGACGAGCTGGGGACATCATAACTGGAGGTGACATGCCTGGAGGCAATCCATCGAAAGAGTCGTCATCAATCTCCTGAGAAGAGGTACGATACAATGACGTGGGTTTGTCCCTCCTGAAGCGTTGAGGGGTAGCAGATGGGTCTGTAAGATCAACAATGCCATCCCATTGAGACGGATCCTTATCAGCGGAAAGGAAGGGATTATATTTTTTCGGCACTGGCGTCTTGGGCTTTCCTCTGTATTTGAGAGGCGAAGTGACCGCGGAACTCGCCTTCGCCGAGGAAGTGTCGGTTGGGTAGAGGTTATGGCGCAAAACATTGCGAAGAAGGGGTTCGGTGGTGTCTCTAGCCTTCCCTTTCTCGTTACGAGGTTGAAGTTGAATTTCTCTTCGTGTTGGGATAGGAGTAGGTTCGTCGATATGCATCAACGGTCCTTGTTCTGCCCTCGCATGCTCGAGGATGGTTTCGTCCTCTACAGCGGAGGTTTGCTGAGAGAATTGGCTCTTTCTGATCATAGATGGATCCAGTGACACATTCCATGAAGATTCATCTGTAGTCTCTGATGAGGTCTCGTGCATTCTTGTCATACGCGCGGTTGCTGGAGTAGAAGAGAAAGCATCCTGGCCAGGCATGAAGGACACATTGGTGGACGTCATGCTAGGCTCGGTGGGATGGGATTCCCGTAATGGAGGAGATGTATCCGTGGTTTGGTCTTGCATTGTCGAGATCATCTCTGGTTGTTGAGACTCCTCATTGACGGTTGAATGATCATCGAAAGTTGGAATTTTGATTTGTGCAGCCTGCTCATAGAACGATGTCCAGAACTAAAAAGAATCCATGAGAAAAGGTTTGATATCTGTATTTGTGGCCCACGCACTTTGGCTGCCTCTCGAACAGGCTCTGTTGCAACTGCATATCGCTTGAGTGCAGGCAGAACTTTGTTTGCAAGAAGATGATGTATGTTCGCAAAGTTTGCGTCTATATTCTGTAGACTAAGGTCAGTGCAGACCGAGAAAAGACAACGGAAGAAGAACCTGGAGCTTCAGGGTGATCAGTTGTTCCATCTGCTCAATCTGGTCGAGCACTGGAGCGGAAGTGTCAAGTCCCGGAACGATTATTGATGCAGGATCTGGATTTGGTTTCCATCTACGAGGATTCTCAGGAATTTTTCTTCGAGAATCCATAAACGTTGCGGTCAGTTGTAGGAAATTGGAATGTCACAGCGATGGTTAGTTGACGCGTCAAGTCACGGGTGACGACGCGTAAAAGTGATGGATCAGGTTGTCGACTGAGATCCAAACTCCGAGTCAGCTGCGTTCTTGTAGTTTATGTTCTTTCTGTTCCTAGTCTTACAATACATGCGTAAAAGATACGTAAAGATCGTTGAATCATCATCATAGTAAAATCATGCCGTATTGCATTGTGATAAAACTTCCGACACATAGGTAGCAATAACAGCATGTGTCGCTGCTGACGGGGTTCTAGTGAGAGGGTCAGAAGTCATTACCATTACCTGTCCAGAGAAATAGCTCACCCAGGCAGCCAGTAGAAGTAAGTGTCTGGAGAAGAACACGCCCCAATAGTAGTTGTACTACTAACCGTACATGCTCCAGGATTTGTGTAGCCAAACGCCTCATAGCCAGGATTCGAGCCAAAAACACCGTCCCAGACGTTAGATAAATCAACAAATCCGACGTTGAGCCCTAACTTGCGTAGCGCAGGGAGTGAGGAGAATATCGCCTGTTTGTAGGCCTCTCCAGCAGGAGTCTTCGTTCCGCGACCATAGTTATCGACTATGAGGATATTACGTGCAAATATGGGAGAAGAGGAGAGAACAAGAATATTGTACACGATGTTCTGTGCAGCAAGGTCGAGGTCTACTCGAGTTTTTTTAGTTTTGACGCTAGCAACCCCAGGCGGTTTACTCACTCCCTCCCAGAGCAAAATCACTGACAGGAGACTGTCAGAAGCGTCCAGATGTACGCAGAATTGATGACATACTTGATGCCGAAGAAAACTGTGTAAAGGGTTGTACTGGGATCATATCGAGTGACTTGGCTGATGAACAAGCTGACTACGAAGTCCATGTGAGTACTTGGATGTCAGACTTGTACACAAACTCACCTTGCCCAGTGAGATCTGAGGATATTTTAATGGCAGGATATTGAGAAAAGTCAGCAACTGCACCAGGGGCCTATGAGGGCTTTGTCAACAAAAGGCATGCTGAAAAACAGTGTCGAATTCGCAAAACTCACCGCATAACCTTTCAAAGTCGCTCCCACATTTCTTGCTAAGACCTCGGTCCAGACAGGACCGTTGCTAGGCCGGCCGCCAGCATCAGGATTCGGGGGAGTAAGGACTGGTGGTGCTGGAGTGGATCCATTCTGAACCCCATTGTCTGAATATTGGTCCTTAAATAAACAATCTTCAGGTCAGTATATCGTGCCTCCCGTCAGTGTATGGCATGCGTGCCACATACTCCGAACGCAACGATGGTCTTGAAAGTGCTTAAAGGCGGAAGCCCAACATTGAGGTCTGCAACCGAGCCCCCGAGTTCGGTACAGTTAGGACTAACAGCAAGATGCACCGGCGAGTCTCGCTTCACCACAGCTGCAGAGACAAGAGAGACAACTGTAGACATGAGTGTTGTAGAGAAGCGCATGGTAAGCTACCGTCAAGAGGGCCGCTTTGAGGACTAACGGCACTGCAGTATTTATCCACTTCACTTCTGTCAAATAAATCAGGCTAGTCTTACTAAGTAACCTCATATTCAGCATGTTTCCGAACACGCTATCAGCTGAACAGCATGGATTCACTAAAATCTAAATCGGTGATACTCAACTCCGTGTATTATCCGCTGCGCCATTTGTACAATTTTGTCCCGCACTTGGTGTAGATGACGTGAAGCAAGGCGAGCGGGAAGTTTCAGAGGATTGCGTTATACTTCACATGGTACAGAACCAACGTTCGCACATGAAGCCTCTTCGTTGGAATGTCACGGTGAGCCATTAAATTTGACCTTGGATATGACGTGACAGGTTTGTCAACGGATCACACCGCAGACCAAGTGGTCGTCAGACCAGGAAGTCTGGGGTGATAATCGTCATACTAGTCGCGGGAATGTTAATTGAATCAAGAGGATGGCGAAGCTGGAAGCAGCAAGAATAATCAGGTCAGATCCTTTGAATAATGGTGTTGGACACATCAAAAGGGACTAAGCCCTGGAGAGCTAATTGAAACACTCGTCCGATGTCCCAGATGCAGTGATTGGCAAAGAAAATCTTTGCGACCAAAGTCAGCAAGTAGTAAGTTTCAAGTTGGACCTGATCTCGGTGATCTGCCAATGGAACGAATTTGCCCGAGATATTCGAACCAAAATACTGTACCTTCAATTTACATAAACTGTGTTCTCGTTATGATAGCTGCCCACACCGAATCCGAGGTTGATGCTGGCAAGGTTTGCAAGATATATGTACTGTGGTGTTGAATACCTATACGAAAGGACTGTCAGCATGAACACCGAGTATCAAATTAACCATCGGAGACCCACTGAACCACAATAAGAAGTTGATTTGACGATACGATTGGCGTCATATGATATCAGGCCCATTGATGGTTTCGGATGTACTGTAGACCTAGGCAGACAGATGGTTGTCACGTTAAAGCGTGTGGGGATATGCGGAATCACCTTGTGGCATCTACAAGAAATTTAGCTGATAATTGTAACGACAATTATGCCATCGATGCAACGTGACTGGTAGGCCGAGGCAAATATTACATCGGATTTTGGTAGCTTCCGCGGCTGCACATTGGGGAGGAGTGGAGAACAAACCTGGTCCGTACTTGCATGAAATCAGTCACAAGAAAGTCAAATCAAGATAAGCTCACCCTATGTTTCGTCGTGTATTCAGCTGCTCTCTTCAAGCCAGGGTTGTACAGTATATTTTCGACCAATATACATCACTGCGTACTAGTATGATATCTAGAGTATGGGTGGATTGCAGTTGCAAGA